AAAAAAAAAAAAAAAAAAAAAAAAAAAAAAAAAAAAAAGGAGTGAGAGAGAGGGAGAGGGGGAGAGAGAGGGAGAGAGAGAGAGGAGAAGACAGTGCTAGGAGCAGATGACTTTTCATCTCCACTTCACCTTGCCACTGGGTCTGTGAGAGATTGGTTCATTGTCAAGGAGATTTTTTTTTTTTTACCCATGATTCCATATGGTATGGACCGGGCTACATGTTGCCCAACATGCCAGTGCAAATGTTTTCTCAATTAGGTGTCTTATCTCCCGTGAGTTAGCATCAGATGAAGCTTGCTGACAGCATAATGGCAGGGAAAACCTCCGACGGCTCCATCAAATGGCAGCTCTGCTACGACATCTCGGCCAGAACTTGGTGGATGGTGAGTTGGCAGCAGGGCTGCTTTTTTTTTTCTCCCTTTTCTACTTTCCCTCCCTCTTTGACAAAATGTCCCAGACCTCACATTTATCAAATTAACATTTGATTTTTTTCACACTCTTCAGTAGAGCAGCCTCACACTTGTCCCACTTGTGTGCTTTCCCCTGTGTAACAGGAGACCGCACTACAGTTTCCAGGGGGAAGCTTTTTCAATTCTCCTTAAGGGGAAAAAAAAAAAAAAAAGTATGCAAAGAAGTAGTTTGAAAAAGCCTTGTGCAGAGTAACTTGTCTCAGTCGGCTGCCTAACGCTCAGTTTGTTTTACTTTATCTGCTGCTTTCCAGCGTTTGTGTGTGCATTTTTTACCATGCAATATTTTGTAAAGAGGGGAGGTGGAAAGTTCAGTCCGTTATAAAGCAACTCGATTACTGTAAAAGCCTGGAACGGTGTGGTAGTGTTGTGGTGTAAAATTATCACGTGTGAGAGGAGCGTGTTTTGCGAGGTGCTGCCTTTCATCGGAGACCCCGATCTAACTTTTCCCTCCGCTTGTTTACGTTAGAACAGGTTACCGGGCTGTGCTGACCTGGAGCCATGTGTTACAGATCCCACATAGTCTGGCTCTAGCTGCTTTTGGGCGCAATTAAAGTTTCAATAAAGTCCCAACGTGCTCCGTAGAACGAGTTAACTAGCATGTCATGGTCAGCCGGGCCAGACAACCTTTGACATCTTGAATCTATAAGAGGTATAGTGAGTTAGGAGGATGCACAATAGCCCATTGTGGCAGAAGATGCAAGTCCTGTTGTGAGGAAGAGAGTCCTCAAATCATTACTGCCCTCGTTAGCGTGTTGTCCGTTAGGGATTAATTCGTTAGCAGCGCATTTTTAGTTTTCTGTAATTATTATTTTTGTGGCAAGCGTGAATTCTTCCAGTGAGAGGAAAAGTTTGCTGCCAGGACAATGAATGTATTATCCGCTCCTAACTGGACCGTGAACCTCAGCTCATTTCACATAGATATCAGTTAAAAAAGGACTGGCGAGTGGAATTACAAAACAAGGCATGATCACTTTCATTGTATGATACGCTGAAACAAGTCGGGGGCTTTCCCTCCCCCTCGCCGCCCCGGACCAATTTTGGTATCATTTGGAAAGTTTAAGACCTCTGAGGACTTGAAAGACTTTTAAAAGTGAGATCCGGAAGGTTTTTATTCTGCAGCTTGGTGGTGGCCATTGTGTATATCATGTGGCTTGTATTTAAAGGTGTTTGGGCTCGGGTTTTTCCGTTTTGTTTTGTCTAAACTCTTAATTTTTTAACCGTCTATTAGAGGTTTGCCAGTGGTTGCCAGTGAAATGTAACATGCAGCTTTTGGTTAATGGGGATAGGGAAGGCTAACCACTTTACTTATAGTACTGATTTTCCAATTAGACTTTCTGCCAGGGGAAGTTGGAGGGGGAAGGGGTATTTGCATGCACATAAACTGTTGATTATTCATGTGACTTTTTTTTTGTTGTTTGTTTAGCTTGTTAAACCCCTGTAAATAAGGCTATTGATTCTTAGTTATCATTTTCAAAGCAAAGTTTTCAAGTACCTGTTTTAACTACATGATTTATATCATGCTGTGATTTTGCCTTATTCTAAGCCATTTGTATATTTTATTACCACTCTTCTTTTATTGTCTTGTCGGCTGCTTTTATGATGAGGTACGTCCATGTTTATTATTTAATAAGTATCCTCAAATGTTATTAGGCAGTTATTATCACCCTATGGAAAGTGTCCGAGGAAGTTTCATTTCAGTCACATTTATTTCACAGATGTTTTAGTACTACGAATATAATATGTAAAAATGCTGGAAACATTTAGTAATGCACTTGCCTAAAAATAAACAGTTTTATAACCACACATGCTGTTGTTTAGATTAAACATTGCAGAAAGTTCTCCTTAAACTTGAACATCACACCATTTATTTTCTAAGAAAATTAAAAAAAAAAAAATCACTAAAATAGCCTTTTTTTGTAGAAGTTGTGCTAGATGAAAGAGATGTTATTTTTAACTCAAATGAATAATTCAAGATCTTTACAATAGATGTGTTAATTGCAAATAATTTTCGTACAAAGTTTCAATTATTGATGGAGTAATAAGCAGTTTTTCATACAGTCTGTGAATCTAAAACGTACAACAAAAAGTAGATATCTGTTATTTTTTCACCCCCAAACCTCATCACATTTGCCACATTCTTTTAATCAAAAGTAAGCTAGAGAGCAGATTTTAATGTTTTAAAGACAAATAAAGCTTTTAAAATTACCTCATGCATCGTCTGGCTGCACAAAATCTCAGCTGCACAGTGCTAAACTTCGGTTTGGTACTGCCAGCATACAAAGAGATGAGTGAATACCCCTTGCACCCATATGGACTCAGCTGCCAGCACTGTGATATGCAATTTTGCTTTTTAATGAATCGTAAACAATTTGTGTGTCAAACGAGGGAGTTTGTTTTCTTTCTGGAGCAGGTTCTAAATCCATTTTAAGCTATAGCTGTGTACTGTACTGGAGTATTATGCCCAAATTTAAAGGTTCTGTGTCATTTTGATGAAAAGACCTGTTATAATGAAAGAAACGCCTTTATAAAAGGCTGGGTGTAGTAATCTCTCTCTCTTTCTTTCTTTCTTTCTTTCTTTCTCTCTCTCTCTCTCTCTGTCTCTCAACCTCACACTCTCCCTCTTTCACTCCAGTCTATAGCATGTTTATAGCTAGCTAGCTGGAGATAATGGAGATTGGTTGATTGCATGATTAGTAAAATGAATGGATTTTAGCATTGGGCAAAGCAGCTTGCATTTTTGAAAGGTGGCTTTAAAATGCAGAGTTCTAATTTTGACCTTATTTTCTTTCATAGATAATCTTCATTAATGCCCCTTTAATTCACTTTTCCTCATCGCAACTAGTTTTTTCTCTCCAGCCATCTGATGGAATGGCTAATATATTTTATCTTACTTGCCAAAATAGCAAGAGGTCAAAGTAAAAGAAAAACGTTATTTTTCTCTCTTGTAGACGGTTATGAACGTTCCAAACTGTTTCAGTAAAACCCACAGGATTTGTACATTTTAGCGCTAATTGCATCTGTCACCACAGTTTTAAGGCATTTTTTTGACACCTAATCTATTTTTTCTTATGCTTTAATCAAGTGAATACAGAAACAGTTATTATTTTGGCTATATTGTAATGTGGCATTTTAGCAGAAAATTTTCCCCAAAATGCTGTAAATTTGTGTAAGAAAGAATTATATATTTTATATTTAATAGCAAATACTTTAGCCGGTAGAGCAGCCTGAAGATATGAGATTAATTAGTTTGTTGGAAAAATTATCATTATTTTATAATCGTTGCCACTTTTCATTTACATTTGATGCTGTCATAGAGGCACTAAAGGGTTAGTCATAGAAAAGTTTCAGTACTCTGTCTTGCATTTGTTACAAATATGTGCAGCTGTGCTACTTTTATAAACATTTATTTCAAGCTGATTTTTTTTTAATTATTTGCTCTTGCAAGCCAATATGATGTGACTATTATATAGGTTTAATAAGGGATTGTCTGCAAAATTCCTTTGCATGGGGTTATTGAAATACACGTGCAGCAGAGGTATATGCTGGAGTAAAATTCTCAATGATAACACAAAACTAAAGACCCTGGGCCAAATTCTGCTCAAGGTTTACACTGCTATCAGCCTGGAGACAGTGCATTAAGAGGAGGGGAGCAACTCCAGGTCTACTTAACTAAGTGACCAAGAGCCAACTTTAACCCATAATCTGAGTTATCTCAGTCCAAACAGTTTCAAAACTCAAACTGTTCTCCTTTGTGAAATATCTGAAGAAAAAAGCCTCATTAATAAATAAGAAGCCATTTCAAATGACTCAATGTATGAGTTAGCATGCAAACTGCTGTTATTGAATACAACAGCTAAAGCAGATCTTCCAGTCATTTTCCAAAATAATTGTTTTCCAGTTTTGTTTTCCAGCTATCAGTGCACAGTTCAGTGTACATGCCTTTATTTTCTTTAGATGATATAAGGTAAAAGAGAATGTATTAAAAATAGCAGGATTGGATTTGAAATGGTCATTTTGTTACTTTAGAGGTTTTTAACTCAACATCATTTTTTCAGTAAAGCTCTTGGTAAATATTTGTCTTTCACACCTCTGTGCTCCATTTTTTTCAGAGGAATAGCTGAAATTGCTCAGGTAATTTATTCAATAAAACAAAAATTTCAAAATGTTACTAGCATTTCCGTCAATTAAGAATGAATAGAATGCTCACTATAAATCTCATTGCAAATGAGATTAAAAAGAATGGTGCATCTAATAAATATTTAATTTCATCATATGGAAAGCTAATTGTTACTACCAAATCTAAAAATGTCATGAAACACTCAAAAGTAGTATTTCTGGCTGAAATCACTGAGCATATCTATACATACGTGCATATACATACTCTCATCTAAGTTCATCATGGTAATCCCCACATGCTTTGCTGATTTGTGCTTCCTACTTATAACTTGCTGTATATCAAAAAGCATATATTTATTAATAATCATACTGCTCCTGCCTCTACGAAAATAACAAAGTGTGAACAGTGTAACATTGCAGCATGGATTTTCTTTGTTTTATACAGTAACTCTCATTTGTTAATACACTGCTCAGCTGCTGTATGAATGTTTTTAATAAAATTATTCCCTCTCTGTCAGAGTTGCTAAATTCCATATATAACTTATACACGTGTATTCAGTGCATCGTTACACATACTTTATAGCATCTTCATTTTCTATATGTGGCCTCCTTTTGCCTACAAGTATTTGCTCTACTTTTTTTCTACTTTTTCCTTCACCTGTCCTGAATATTGCCTTGAATGTTTCTAATTTAAAGCCAGAGGAGTCAGTGGCTGATTAGAAGACAGGAAATTGGAGGATTAAACTGTCTGGTTGAACTTCCTTTACTTATCAGTACTGTGTAACTTACACTGGATT